ATCCAATCAGGCAAGGGTGACACTGCCATATAACCAGTCTCAATAGTGAACTGAGAGAGGCCTATGTCCTGCAGTGGAGTGAATGGCTGTTGAAAGAAAGAATTATATATATATGTATATATACTTATACAATATATATGCATATGTGTGTGTGTGTACACACACAGACACACACACAGACACATACACATACACACACATATTACTCTTGGATATGAGTATAAACTGCATCCGGTAGCGGGTTCTGGTCCTGAAGAGTCTCGCGCCGCCTTTTAGACACTATTACTCCCATGTCCACTTCGACCCAGAGTGGAAGCCCTGTCAGGGTCCCATCCATGGCATGAATAGATATGGGTCGAGGGGACTCTTTAGCCTTGGCTGGCAACCCTTCTTGGGACAATCAATAAAAACACTGTCAGGAAAAGTAATGGGAAACCACCCTAACTGATCTTTCCCTTGTGTGTATGGGAGACACCCCAGGCAATGGCCCTAAGTCTCGTGGAAAAGATTGGCATGTTAAGTGAGTTAACAGGGAATAGAGGGTAATAGAGAAAAGGGATGCCAAAAAGGACCTGTCGTAGGACAGAACACAAGAAGAACAAGAAAGACATGTATATAATATATATATATATATATATATATATATATATATATATATATATATATACTGTAGAGGATGAATTCTCATAGCCTTTGACCTTACACGGACTGAAGTACAAGGTAGCAGTGTGCTCATGTACACACGTGATTGTGTGAATACACACATGCACACACACACACACGGATTTGCATATATTGGGTGAGTTTAATGTAGATACGACAGTGGTGCCCAATTGCTGCTTTGTAGTTCAGTTCGTGTATCTTCAAAGGCTATGGGAATTCACCCTATACAAAGCAACCCCCTATCTTGTGGCACCTATGAGACGAAAAGGCTTCGGTAGTCAACCCTCAGGAAAAATCTTGAGCCGGAGTCCCTGAGGCAGTTCGTTGTCGCTTGCAACATCGTTCTGGCAAACTCCTGCGACGCCGCTGGTGCCAATCCGTTTCAGTCTCTGCCGTTCCTTTGGATCCATCAGCTGCGCGGAGAAAGGGAGCTTGAGGGGCCCTGGGCTGCAGCCCATACTAGCCTATAGGATAATCCGGCCCTGCACACATGAATATATATATACATATATATTTGTGTGTGTGTGTGTGTGTGTGTGTGTGTGTGTGTGTGTGTGTGCATGCACACTTAGATCCATCCACACACACACACACACACACGCACACGCACACACACGCATAGGTATAATGTACATATGTACATATGTACATATATGAGTATATACATGTATACTTAGGTCAGAGATAGAGACATGAAACATTTTGTAAAGCAACAAAGATCATAATAAGCATGAATAAAAAAACAAAAAAACTGTCGGGATTCTTGATATTATGATGATATGTTTAAATAGAAAAACTTGGAAAACTTACATTCCTGCTTTTAATTTCAAATCCCTTCCAGCTCTTGGAATAATGATGTATATATATATATTTTTTATAATAGGTCTACCTAACATTCTTTGATGTGGATTACGGTAAAGCGATCTTTTTTTTTTTTTTTTTCTGACAAGAGTAAAGCGTTTATATATATATATATTTTTTTATAAACGGGAATTATTGCTCTACGTATACTACACATTTTGATTAATTAAACTATATTTTTTTTCCTCTCAGTAATTTAATCAAGTGAAGTAATCTTTTAGATACAATGCTCACTACACTATTTTTTTTTTTTTTTAATTCCTTCACTCACACACACATGTCTGTATGCATGTATGTATGTACGTATGTGTTTTGCAATAGAGTGGAGTATTATCGCGTTCAACCCACGCGAGTTGGTTTAATGTCTCTCTTTCGCTTTACTAAAATGTTGCGTGCGTTCGAGACCTTGTTAGGGAGGGAAATTGTACGTATGTTCTGTGTGTAGGTGCTTGTATGGAGGTATGTGTTGTACGGACGTGTGTGTTGTATGTACTTTACTGAGGTCACAACTCTGAGTCTAATCTCGTTTTTTTTCTTTCTCCCCTCCCCCCCATCGCCGCCCACTTCCCTCCTCCCTCCCTCGCCGCCCACTTCCCTCCCCCTCCCCTGTCGCCGCCCGCCTCCCTTCCTCCCCCCACCTTACCTCCCTCCTCCCCTTCCCTTCCCACCCTCCCCTTCCCCTTCCTCCCTACCTCCCCCCCTCCCCCCACCCTACCTCCTTACCTCCCCCCCTACCTCCCTTCCCCCCCCACCCTACCTCCCCTTCCCACCTTCCCTTCCCCATTCCACCTCCCCTTCCCCTTCCCACCTTTCCTACCTCCTCCCTCCTCTCCCCACCCTTCCTCCTACCTCCCTCGCCACCCTACCTCGCATCCCCCCACTCTACCTCCCCTTCCCTTCCCACCTCCCCTTCCCTTCCCACCTCCCCTTCCCCCTTCCCCTTCCCACCTCCCCTTCCCCTTCCCCCACCCCCCAGAATGCAACGGGCTGCCCATGTACCTGACGGCGTCCAACAGCACCGGGCACCTGGCTTTCCCGGAGGCGAACTGGGACGCCCATACCGGCGCGTGGAACAGCTTCCAGTTCTACCCGACGGCGGTCAAATGCACGTGGGTCCTGAGGGCGCCGCCCGCCCACGTGCTCTCCGCTGCCTTCCTCAAGTTCGACACCGAGCAGGACTATGACTTCGTTACGGTTAGTGCGAAGATGCTTTTTCTTTTTTTCTTCTTTCTTTCTGTTTCTTCTCCTCCTTCTTCTTTTCGTTATTTCTTCTTCTTTCTTTCTTTCTTATTTTCGTTATTTCTTCTACTTTCTTTCTTCTTTTTCTTTCTTTCTTCTGTTTTTTTCTTTCTTTCTTTCTTCTCCTTTTTCTTTCTTCTCCTTTTTCCTTCTTTTTCTTTCTTCTTTTTCTTTCTTTCTTCTTTCTCTTTCTTCTCATTTTTCTTCTTTCTTGATTTTATTATTTCTTCTCCTTCTTTTCCTTCTTTCTTCTCTTTTTCTTTTTCTTTTCGGTCTTCCTTCTTCCTCTCCTTCTTCTTTTCTTTCTCTTTTTTTCTTCGTCTTATTGTTGTCATTATTACTATTATTATTATTATTATTATTATCATTATTATTATTATTTTCTTTCTTTTTCTTCTTCTTTTCATTCTTCCTTCTTTGTTTGTAAGGATCGTGTTTTGATTGTTTTTTTTTTTGTTTTTTTTCGTTTGTCTGTATATATTATTTCTTTTTTTTGTTTGTTTGTTTGCCTTTCGTTTGTGTTTACTTTGTGATTTTTGTTTGCTTGGGTATGGTGTTTGACCTTTGATCTTTGACCTTTGACCTTTGACCTGTCAGTTCAGACTTTTGCATTTCGCTTGTTTGTTCGCTTATTCTGTCAGTTTCATTATGTCTTTGTTAGTCTGTGATTTTGTTGCGATCAGTTCAGTGTTTTTTGTTTGTTTCTTTGTTTGCCTTGTGTTTGTGTTTTTGTTTAATTTTTAAAATGTAATTGGACGATTGTGTGTGTGTCTCTGTTTTTCTCTCTCTCCCTCTCTCTCTTTCTCTCTATTTCTCTTTCTTTCTCTCTCTCTTTCTCTTTCTCTTTCTCTTTCTCTTTCTTTCTCTCTCTCTTTCTCTTTCTCTTTCTTTCTTTCTCTCTCTCTCTCTTTCTTTCTCTTCCCCTTTATCTCTCCCTCCCTCCCGCCCTCCCCCTAAAAAAAGAAAAAAAAAAGAAAAGAAAATCGTAGAAAAGATACGAATTCGCGAGTCCGACGCTAAACAGGTAACTGGTTGATGGGTGACTATTTTAAGGACTCATTAAGGTAACGACCGGTGAAGGCGTAGGGAGGGAGAGGGGGGGGGGAGGGTTGGGGAGATAGGAGGGAGGTAAGGTAGGGTCGTAAGGGAGGGGGGGGAGGAGGGGGGGGAGGAGGGGGGGGACGAGGGAGGAGGAGGGGGTACGAGGACAGAGAAAGGTGAAAAGTTACTTTCGTCACGATCAGCTGTGCTTTGTCATATGACGAATCTTTCTCTTTAGTTCCTGTCCCCGCCCTCATTCCCTCTTTCCTTCTCTCTCTCTCTCTTCCTCCCTCCATCCCTCTCCTTTCATCCATCCCTCCTTCTTTCCCTCTCTTCCTTCTTCCCTCCTTACTTCCCACACTTCTCTCCTCTTTTCCTTCACTCTTTTTCTCTCCGTCCCTCCTTCCCTCCCTACTTCCCTACTCCTCTCCCTCCCTTCCTCCCTCCCTCCCCTCCCTCCCTCCCTACTTCCCTCCCTCCCTCCGGCCCTCTCTACTCTCACACTTCTTCCCTCCGTGTCTCTCTCTCCCTCCACAATCCCTCCCTCTCATCCTCCCTCCTCCCTCCATCTCTACCTCTTCCCTCCATCTCTACCTCCTTTCCCTCCCTCCATCTCTACCTCTTCCCTCCATCTATACCTCCTTTCCCTCCCTCTTTTTTTCCCTCCCTCCCTCCTACGACCCCAACCTACTAAAACAAACGAGAAATACAAAGGAAGATGGATTAAGTGAGAAGAGGGAGGGAGAGAAAGAGAGAAGGGAGAGAAAGGAGGGAGGCAGGAAAGGAGGGAGGGAGAGAAAGAGAGAAGGGAGGAAAGGAGAGAGGGAAGGAGGGAAAGAGAGAAGGAGGGAGAGAGGGAAGGAGGGAGAGAGAAGTGAGGAAAGGAGGCAAAGGGCGGGAGCAGATAAAGTGAAGGCAGGGGAGGGGGGTAGGGAAGGGGAGGAGGGTAGGCAAGGGGGAGGGGAAGGAAAGCCCCAGAGAGAGGGGAGGGAAATGCGTTGATGCAAGGGAGGAGGAGGAGGGAAAGTTCAACTGGCGGGGAAGGAAATAGGTTAGGGCAAAGGATTTAGGGGGGGGAGGGGGTCAACTGGTGGAAAGGAAAATGAGTAAGGGCAAAGGATTTAGGGGGGGGGAGGGGTCAACTGGAGGGAAGGAAAATGAGTTAGAGCAAAGGATTTTTTTGGGGGGAGGGGGGGGGGAGGGAAGGGGTCAGCTAGAGGGGAGGAAAATAAGGCAAAGGACGGGGGGTGGGGGGGGGAAGGATCAACTGAATGGAAGGCGAACGAGTTGAGGCAAAGGAACGGCTGGGGGAGGGGGAGGGGGGAATGAAAAGGCCAGGGAATGTCTGGACTGACCTTAATACGCGCTGTTGATTCTCTCTACCTTCGGCTTACCTTTGTAGCGAATGGGTTGCGGTGATGAAAGTGACTGCGTTTACCTGTGACACGCTTGCCTTTTGTTTTGTCTGTATCTTTGTAGTTTATGATTTTTGTATGAAAGTTTAGATCTACATCTATACTTGTATTGAGCTATATCTATATTTATCTGTCTATGTATCTATCTATCTCTATATCAATCTACCTATATATGTGTCTCCTTTCTCTCTCTCTCTCTCTCTCTCTCTATCTATCTATCTATCTATCTATCTCCATCTCTCTCTATCTATCTGTCTATCTCCCTGTCTATCTCCCTTCCTCTCCCTCCCTCTCTCTCTCACTCTCTCTCTCTCTCTCTCTCTCTCTCTCTCTCTATATATATATATATATATATATATATATATATATATATATATATATATATAATATATATATATATATATATATATATATATATATATATATATATATATATATATATATGGTAGGAAAACCCACAATGTAAAACTAGATTCCATCCCCAGGTCTGACCTGAGGATGGAATCCAGGTGGATTCCGAAACTATTGTCTCACTTTCAATAAATCTAGTTTTTACATTATGGGTTTTTCTATCATAGCATCAGCATGGTAGAGTGTTTTACTAATCTATATATGTCTGTATGTATGTCTGCATGCTATTTATTCCTATTGTATCAGTAACAGTCAAGCAGAAAGCGAAGTTATAAGTACTCCCAGGAGCCGCACAAACCAGAGTTATTCTAAGTCATTATGGAATCAAATTTAGCAAAGTTTGAATAAATGATTTCCTACCTCCGGTTAACTATTAGGGAGCGAATCTTCGTTTAACCCGATGTCAGCTGGTTTATTTACTGTCGCTTTTAGATTTTAGTGAGTTTTGTTACAAACAGATGGCTCCACGTGTGCTCAGCAGCAAGGAGTCTGTCAGTTGGCCTGATTTCTCCATTCCTTGAATTGGCGGGAAAATGTGTTTTTCTTTCCAATGTTGAAATTATTATCATTCTTCGTGATTTTATAATTATTAAATTGTTATTGAAATATTAATAACAACAAATACAGTAAAATAATAGAAGTGAATCTTTAAAAAAATGAAGGAAAAGGGTAAACAGATGAGATAGGTAAGACTAATAGCTGACTCCTTGGTAACTAAGCACTTGTAGAGCCATCTATGTGTAAAGACAATATATAAACCTTTTATTACAGTGGGCATGGCATTGTAGTCTTGCCACCCGCGCTCATTGGGTTAAACATTTTAATATATGACCAAGAAAACACGCCATGGAATTTGGGATATACGTATATATCATCTCAATATCAGCATGTCTTGTAGTACGACTTCTGATATATCTATTTTGAGGAAATTGTAGCTTTGGTTTTGCATCGTACATTAAGTGTCTTGAAAGGAAGTTTAAGTTTAATGTTTAAGTCTTCGTCTATAATTTACATTCCTTGTGGCTCCTCTTTCGAATTCTATTGTTTTTGTTCTCTACGACGCGTGTCTTGTTTATTTCATCGTTTGTGTGTTTGTTTTTACATCTGTTTGTTTGCTATCGGTGTTGTTAATGATTTTGTTATTGTTATTGTTGTTTATCATTACTGTCGTTATTGTAATTGTTATTGTTGTTATTATCATTATTATTATTATTGTTATCTTTATTATTGCTATTATCATTATCATCATCATTATTGTCATTATCATCAGGTTCAGAGATTTTGTTGACGTTTCAGTAAAATGTTTTTACAATTATTCAAGCACACTTTGCCTTTCCGATGCGCTTGGGTATTCAAGTGGACTGATATACGCAATAGTATGAACCGTATTCATTGCGACAAATATAGAAAAGGTATGAATGGGAATGGATATTTCCCCACAGTGCAAGAGGTGTATTGACCGGTTTCGATTACAACAGCGCCAGAAGATAAGTCTTTCATGCTGTGAAGGTATCCGCCCATACCTTTTCTATACAATAGTACATTTCAAGGTGTATAACAGGTTCTTTTCTAACGATAAGAATTCAATTCAATGTGAATTTCGGTGCTGTTTTTTTTTCATTTCGTTTGAAGGCATTGAAGAAGATATTTTGAGAACCACAGATAACGACTTTTCAGTCTTAATTGAATGAAAATATTGCGATATGATTTTTTTTTTGATAATTCTCTGCAATGCTTGGTCAATCATAGACTCAAATACTTGGATAGATACTGAATGGTACTTAGATATTGCAAAGGTGTAATATCTAAGTATGACAAAGAGAAATGTCATTTTGATAGGTTTACCTGTATAAATTCCATCTACTGTTAACACTTACCGAGGCGTAATAGCCAAATTCTAATGGTTCTCTCCGCTGCGAACATAACTTTCGCCCAAGGACCTGGTTAAGTATGGAATAGTGTTGACACTCAGCGCCGGGATAGTGAAACGCGGAGTGTCGAGTCCGCAGAGTTATAAAAAGGTGATTTTACGTGCGAACCGAAATAGATGGATTTCTCCTCTTGTGACAAGTTTCCGGGTCGATAGTG